GACCCTGCTCCCCCAACTCATTACCATCGCATGTGGGATGGGCTTAGGTTTGCTAAGAAATGTGTTCTGAGATTGAACATTTGTAATACTTGAAACATGCAATGTGAAGTTGCAATGCGTCTCAGAGGTTATGATCTATTATACAGTTGAGTCTACTGCCTTTGGCCACGTTCATTCCGAAATAAGAAACCCAAGAAACTTGGCACTTGTTCCTGTAACAGGCCTACACGCAACCTATCACGCTGTTTATTGACTCACCAATGTATCCCAATCTACATCCTGGTCTTCGCGACATAATGGGCAACCAGGTGCTATCTCAGGTACCATGTATGGCTAAGTCCTCCACGTCAAACTACCAAGCTGAGGAACCTCCCTGAACTCCTGAGCGTCTATCAGCACCATTATCACCTTTTTTGTATGCATCGGGGTGAACCTTGACCAAAAGTTGATTCACCGCGCCTCCGCATTTGCACGTGTCCTCTGATAGGGTAAGCACTGTCCTGCATTTACTGCACTGATTCATCCTCACATAGACGTCTTGATCACTAGAGTTTGTGTTCTGTGTGTTGGAGTTGGGGTTGTTGGATGCGCCTTGGCCGGCACACGAGCAGGTTTCAAAGTCTGCCAGCCATTTGCGGCAGGAAGAACATTGTTTCACCATGGCTTGACCAAGCGATACGGTACTCCAGACGATGATTAGTGATATAGCACTGGTGGGGAGCTACTTTGATTGCCAAGGGGTGAATTCCTGAAGATAGCCAGAAGAGCTAACATCCCTCAAATCGCGACATTGATAGCCTTATATATTCAAGAAAGCTGATGATGAAGGTCTCTGTTAGTGTTCACCAACATATTCGCGAGTCACAATCAGGAGTCATCCGTTCTTTGAAAAACACAAGACAGCTTGATCGGTTGCTCTAGACAGGTTGCGTTGCAATGTCTACCAATCTAGCCGAGTCTACTTGATTTAGTGCCTAGATTACTGCGTGGCTAATTCCTGAGTAGACTTGGGGTCTGAACAGCAAGGATGCGTAGATATGGAGATCGCTGTGATGAATTGCTTTGTTGTAAAAAGTGCTGTCCGGAGACTTTCAGCCCATGTGTTGTCTAGAAAGTTATACAGCACTGCCAAGCAGCACAAGGAGCAGTGGTTGCATATCAGAACAGCTCCTTGAGCTAAAGGGACCACGGTCTCGGTTGATGAATCACTCGGTACCGCCATTATATGACCACTATTGTCTGCAAGCAATAGGACAAACATCTAACGTGTAATATGCCATTTGTATTGAGAGCTATCTGTATACACATAGGGTACCAGGGCCAACCCTCTCGTTGACAAAGCCCCCTAGGGCTTCGTGGAAAGCGCTAAGCGGGCAAAAGGAAATGATTCTCGCGTGACAGTCTGCCTCGAGAACAGTTAGCACAAAGTCCAACTCAAGACATGATAGCACCAGTAGTAGGTAATACCCTAAATAAGGTCATACATCCAAAGGAAGGAATTGATCGCTCATCGCGCGTCTCAAAGGCTCGAGTGACGGCTTGCGTGGAAACTGCGAATAGTAGAGGAGATTGAATCATGCAAGGGAAGTAGCAGAGAAATGAGAAGGTAGCGACTTACTGGTATGACTTGGACTGGGGTGGTTTGTGATGTTGGCTGCTGTGGAAGAAGAGGGAGCTCGAAAAAAATTTCCGAGCTGCGAAGACAGAAATACTCACTACGGGGTGGATAGCGCGGACCGGAAAAAGGTTGACACCGGCCACTTCGTAGAATTGTGTGCAATTATCAATCATCATGTGTGCGATAGACGGCATATTCACCCAGCTGGAGGCTCTGGCATCAGACAAGCAAACATTGTTGTTTGCTTGCAAAAACCTGAGGAGGTTAGAGGAGCAAGACGGCGGCAGAAAAAAGCTCGACTGATGAGGTGGAGTGGACCTGTCCAGGCGGCTTATCGATAAGACAGGTTGAACCCCTGCGAAGAAAAATGGTAGTGCCAGCAGCGAGCCGTCCACATCGATCACCTACGAGAGAACTAAATCACGGGTAGCTCGTCTACGTAAGTAGTCAGTCCTTGAAGCTTCGTACAAATTGTCACCACCGCTCCAATGGCGACAGCAACGCCCACGAAGCTGCGCTCTCTGTACCGGTCGCTCCTGCGGGAGCTTCCTCCGCGGCCCATCCTCGCCACACCGCGCTCGCCGCTCCACGAACGCCTGCGCGAGCACTTCGACCGGTCTGCGCCGATAGCCACCGACAGCGCAACAGCAGCAGCCCAAGCCGAGCAGTATCTGGCATACGTGCGCGCACAGAGGACATATGTCACACTGGTCGAACGCTACAACCCCGGCATGGGGATGGACGAGGAGGAGCGTGTGCGCCTGACGGCGAGGAGGGTGGGCATGGATTTGCCTGTCGAGTTCGAGAACGAAGGCAAAAAATGAGCCATTCGCGAGGGCTGGGAACGCCACATACAATCAGATTAATACCATGATGGGAGACGAAGCGCACACTGCCTGTGTGCTGTGACAAGTGGTCATGACGACTTGCCTCTGACAATCGACTCATAGATCGAGGATGACTGAAAGGGTCAGTAGGATGGCCCTGGGCCAATCGAGAGCGATATTCGTGGCCATGTAACGATGCAAGACCGCACACAGCACCAGCCATTCTCTTGGGATACCACGGACACAAATCACTCAACGGCGCAAAGAAACTGCTATGGGAATTATGGGGGTGTTTGAACATATGGTTCAATGAAAAGGTTCCTCGAGGAGCTACTCATCTAATTTGTCACATCGACACGTTGCTCTACGCAACCTGTACAAAATATATACTATAGAATCAGATCCATGTCCAAATCCAGCGCACTCACTCCATTGCAGTTCATATCCAGGAAATCGGTCCACTCAAGCGAGCCGGGCTGTGCATCATGCATTATGGGTATCAAGAAACACTCGCAAATGCATCCTCCTCTTCTCTTCCGCCTGCTTCTCGCCCTCTCCTTCTCTCTAAGTCTAGCTCTTCGTCAAATCTACGCGGAAAAGTCTCAAAGAGATCCCACGCCGCGATCCTCGAGACTCTCATCCCACCCACCAGTCTCGAGCAGCCACTCCCCGGCTCTTTCTTTGACGCCGCCAATTGTCTCGCCCAGCGCGCTATGCCACTGGTCTTGCACCACGCGCACCTTTTCCTTGAGGTCATCTGTCAGTCGCCGGCCCTCCTCGGCCTTCATCTGCTCGACCTGTCGGGCGTCACGGCCGTCGCACTCCATTACTCGCGCCTTGCAGCTAACCACCGCCTCTTTGACCTCGTGAAGCAGGCACAAGAGATTGGTCTGAGACTCGATAAACTGATATGTGCTCTTCTCAGTATGGAGAAGCAAGCTGAACAGGTACTGAAGAGGGTGCTCGTGGTAGCTCGGGTTTTCGAGAAGTTCTGCGTGTGGAATCTGGATGCGGAAACCCTCCAGGTCGAGAGGGATCTTGTCAAGTAGCCGCTTCAGGGGCGGGGCGATGTCCCAGAACGCAGAAAGCTGCACCTCCACTCCACGCATGGCGTTCTCCTCGACAACATCGCGGAACTCCTGGGTGCGCCGGAAAACGTCCTGGGAGAAGGCCAATGCTCGTGTCTTTGCATCATCGGTGAAAAATGCTGTTGCCTCTGCGACTTTCTCGTCATTGCCCGCCAGACGGTAAGGGATGACGATTACGTCGCGATATCGATCGTTCCGATCTGAGAGGAGGTCGTATATGGCCCGGTGGAGCATCTCGCGCGCCTCGAAGATCCATTTCAAAAGAGTGAGCTTCTCGAGAAGCTCGGGCTGCTCATCTCCCTCCTCTTGTGGCATGTTCGGGTTCGGCTCGCGCGTTTCCACGAACAGCCTTCCACGCAGCTCATCAAATAGGGCCGTAGCCTTTGTAATGCGAGCTGTCAGCAGCTCGTTCAGCGGCATGACTACGGCCGATTGGAAACGTTCGAAATCCTTCTTCTCAAGATCCTTGAGGCTTGCGTTCTCGGCTTCGTTCGAGTCGGCTTCGATAGCCCCGGCTTCGGCGTATGTCATGTTTCCTACGCTAATTTCCTGCGAGAGATTGGCACGGAGTGCTTGTCGCCGCTTGGTTGCTGCATCGGCTGCCTCATCACGCATTGCCTTGCTCTCACGGGCAAACCGCGACTTTGTGGCATCGACCTCGGACAGATCGCTGATAGTACGCACAGAAGTGCGGATCGCCGTGAGTTCGGGATGATTGTTGTTCACAGCAGGGTGATGGCGAGGATACGGTGGAGGAAGCGTAACCAGCCTCGACACGTCAAGATGAGCCGGATTCGGGGTGTTCGGATTCGAAAGCGCCATGTGCAAGGAGTTGCGCAACGGCTGCGGCGTAACGACCTGTTCCTGCTGATCATGCCAGCCCTGCTTTTCCGGAGGATACTCGTTCGAGGAGTTTCGTTTACTACTGCCTGGGACATCTTCTGCATCGTCAATCCATTGCAGTGCCTCACGAGCCTCTTTCGGAACTCCCATGTACTTGGACTCTCGCTTCGTCCTCTCCAGCCTGCTTGATCCCTCTCCAATAGAATCTGACTCCCACCACCGACTCGCAGGTCGTCCTCGGGAATCCCCTTCATCGTGGTTCTCGCTCACACTCATACTCAATATAGGCGAAAGCGATGGATGGAAGTTGTTATTGTTCCAATTGATGTTGTTGGGTGGGCCGCCAGCTGGCGAGAGGGGTATATTTGCCGATGATGGAGCAGAATTCGATTGTCCAGAGGGCTCACCACGGGACACAGATCCCATCGAGCCGCGGTGAGATCGTGGCTCTGAGGACTGGGGAGTCCATTCGCTTGCTTGTGAGGCATTTGACTCCCGCCTATTGACCATGGGTCGGAAGAGATCGCGAGTTAAGTCGAAAATTTCAGACCCCATTGCTCCGATGGCCGATGAATATCTCTCCCGCCTAACGCGTGACTCGCTGACAATGAACTCGGCAAAGAGTCGAACTCTCTCCGCATCGGTGTTCGCGAGAGCCTCCTTCTGAGCAAAGTGTCTGAACCGATCAATTGTGCCGCGGGAAAATTGTTCAGCTGTCTGCTTCACGACAGCCTCCTTCGTCACCTGCCTTGGTGAGTGTGGAGTAGGTATTATTGCTTCCAGCTCCAGTCTTGTCTGCGAGCTGGAGGCAGACCGGGTCTGTGGTGGTGGGGTAGGAAGTGCCTTGGGTGCTATTGATGTGTGACTTGGGCCGTCGTTTACAGGATGAGTCTTGTGTGGGTAAGGTGAAAAGGGAGGAGTGGGGGATTCAGCATTTTGGTGAGTTTGGGCCGAACCCAGTGGTCTAGGTGTTGATCCTCGAGAGTCATGCTGGCTGTCCTGAACAGCAACATCGCCAGTGTGGGGGGTATTGTCTTGTCTGCCAGCACTTCTCGGGGTTGATTTGGTGATTGTCAACCTTCTAGTCAATCCTGTGGACGCCGATGGAATCACAATATTAGACAGCGGCTGAGCATCAGAAGAGGCCATGGATGCATCGATCGAAAGCCGTGATGCCCTCGTCCTGCTCTCCGTACGCCTCTCACGCAAAGTCTTTTCTCCCCTCACCGCATTTGTTCTGGCGAGATTACCAGATGGGCTTTCACCGGAGGTTGCAGATTCTGGTAAAGCACCTGCACTATCGACACTGGACGTTTCTGCGTGTGAGTGGCCATCTGGGGATGATTGTCCTCGTGGAGTCCGATTATTAGACGAATCAGTATCTACCCAGTCAGCGGGAGTTGGTGGAACAGGACCCAGGGCAGCAACACCGCTAGGAGGCGGCCTTCGTGTTGGCGGTGATGCAACGGGCTCGCTGGTGCTAGGCCTGTTGACGCTCTGGGAGCGTGAAGCACTTGGTGGAGGACCTGGTGGAGGAGGTGGGAATGGCATTCCCGGTCCCCATCTGCTCTGCGATGCAGATCGTGACCGAGCCGACGTTGGCGTGTCAAGAGCACCGGTGGATGCAGCTCTTCGAGCGCCTGGCGGAAGTCCCTGGGAAGAGTCGCTTCCTGTCCTCTGTGGAATTGGATGAGGGATCTGGATGGTGAGCGGGCCTGGGTGTTGTGGGCGAGACGATGTAATAGCGGACGGCGCATGGAAAGCAGGCGCCGGGTGCGTATCTGGAGGCGTGACGGCCTGTTCCGGATCTCTTCTCCTACCTATGGGTAGACCGAAGCGGCGTTCACGGGAAGCACCTCTGCCATGGGCATTTGGAGGGGGCGGGAATGAGGTGTTGGCACTTGGCTCTGGAGAAGGACGGTGAGGGTTCGGTGGAGGAGCCCTGGCTGCTGAAATATTGGCACCAGGGGATTCAAAGCTCATGCTGATAGGCCGTTGACTCCGAGGAGGTGAGTATGGAGGAGGCGGCGGCGGTGATGCTTCTGGATATTAGCTATTATACAGCGAAAGCCCATACCATGTGTGAGTTAGGTACCTTGTGAATCCGGCGATAGCCCATGGCCGCGCTGTGGGCCAGCAATTGGTGACGAGATCCATTCCTGCGGGTTGTACGGTTGGACTGCGCTCACCGGTGTTTGAGCAGAGGAGAAGGCATTATGGGAGGTGTATGACACCGCAGACAATGGTGTATTTGTCTGAGGCGGGTACACGCCGAGAGAAGTTGTAAGTAGAGGGTTGAGTCCTGCGCGAAGTCGCGAGGTCGGATCTCGAGCGGAACTCATTCTCGACAAAACGAGGACCGATTCGCCGACTCCAAACTAGGTCTATCGAGTATCGAACAGACGTTGTTCGAATTGGGCTCGATCGGTTTCTCACGAAGGTTGAACTGCGGAGGCGGGGCAGAGAGGTCAACCCAAGCCCCACGCAAAGCCTGTGAGACAGAGCCCTGCGCTGGCTGCCCTTTGTCCTTGAGAAAGCCCCGGATGAGACCTCTATGCAATCCAGGCCATGACACAAGACAGACGTGGTCTCCCGATTGCGATCTTCCGATATCAGCCAGCCAAGGTGAGGTTGAGACCAAACCTGCTGCACGACCGCGGCTGATTCGATGTGTAGGGAGGTCGAACAAATAGGAGACGCGGCGGTGGTGCGAGGAAAAGGGCGGGCAGATGCAAAAGATAAAAAGATGGGGTGACCAGGCCGATACGACGACAATCCCGGTCTTGGCCAGCCAGCTAGACTTGAAGAGGTACTTCAGTACACCTCAATCTCGACCTGCATGAAGTGCGGGATCCGGCCTCCCGTTTACAGGCCTGGCCTGGTCTGCTCGCCCAGGGCCGTTTCGCTCGGAGGGGGACCTGCTCCGGCTGTGACTTTGTGTGTGAACAAGCAATATGGCAGTCCGCCGAATGCTCAAGAACGGGTCTAATGTAGGTGCTAGATTGCAAGATGCACCTGTCGCCTCCGAGGAGTCTTGCTGAGTGCAGGGCTCTCTGATCGACGACTTATCTCTCCGGCCACTCAGGGAACAGAGCAGTCAAGGCATAAGAAGCTAATGTACTGAATGACAGGCATTGCAGTTCCGGGGCACGCAGAGGCACGGTCACGGTCGGAGCGATAGAGGTTGTCAGATAAGTACCGAGGACGAGGCACTTATCTTCAAAAAGCCAGAGCCTGCGATGGTACCTCAACTTGCATGCATCTAAAGAACGCCACCACGACATTCAATGCGTGTCTATCCCAGCGGTCTCGGATCGCCAGGACTTGAAAGTTCGGCACCCGGCATGGGTCATATGGCCCAAGTGCTGCTGCTACCAAATTGCCTGCTTCAGCCGGAAGAGCTGCCAAAGCGAACGAAGAATATGGCATCTCCGTGAGGAAGTCCAAGCGGCCTGGGAGCCAAGCCCAGGCTCAACACTCACTCACTCTAGGGAATGGATTCCAGAAAGGGCAGCAAAAGAGAGGTGTGAGGGGCGTTATCGAGGCAGTCATTGGTGTGCGGCCGACAAAGTGGATTACCCAATCTATTCTTGGATGTGTGACTGAGCGGATGCCGCCCTCTGATTCGCTGATTCCGTGTGAATCTTGTGAAGTGGCGTGCTGGCGCTTAAAGGGCCCTGCTGCCACGAGAGACGTGATTCGGCTGTTGAGCACATCAGCCGGGCACTCCCTGCAGTAGCGAATGGCCTCACAGAATTGTAGGAGGCCTAATCCCGCACAAGCATAGCGGCCTTCTCCTTGTGTACTCAATCCCCCGCGGTGGATCGGTGTCGATGGTAGCCCAGCGTGCCTAGAAGGCTGCCAAGTACAAGGGAAGAGCGCAAAATCAGCTGATAGCTTCTTGGTCTCACCAACCTCTACATCCCACCGGTGGACGTTGGAAAGATCTGTGAAGCAGGGACAGCGGTGAATGGTGAAACGCCTCCTCGCGGCTCATGCGTGGGCGTAGGGCGAAATGGTGTCCAAACCCTGTGAAAAGCGTAGCTACAGAACAAGCTCCCCCACATCCTTACTAGTCCTGCTAAGACCGCTATCCTGGCTGGTTGGTTGTGTTCCGTTGATGTTGATCGTCGTCACGGGTAAATCGTGAACGGACCGAAGAATGCAGTATCAATATCAATGCCAGATCTAGGCAGCGTGAACGTTGGACTAGATCTAGAAATAGCGATGTGGGGTATTGAGTGCTTCGAACAAGTAGGACAACACTGTCTTAGGATCAAGCTTATTGCAGCTCATATGTCGCTCGCCTCAATCGAGACCTCCTGAAACATCATTTGGAAGAGCTACGCAACGGGAGCTGTCAAGGCCGCGGCCACCAGCCTTGTTTTCCAGCTTGATACGACATGTTTGAGCTTCCGTTTACCTCGCAGTGCAACTTGACCGTTACCAAAGCAGTTCACGGGTGCCGGATCGCATCGTTTCCGCCTGCAAGCTCCATCTTGCCGTTCCCCACATTTTCAGGGCGTCGGTGGCTTCTCGTCAGCGATGGGCTGGGATATTAATAGAAGTGGTCAGTGTTGGCTCTTCCTCTGGTCACCGCGCTTGCGATCGTCTATTTCGCTCTCTCAAAAAAGCCCAAGCAGCCTCTTTCATCACAATCACAAAATTCCACGGGTATCCCCAGTCAGATCTCGGCGAAATGGTTTGCATTGAGGCACCATCAGGCGCCGGATGATAAGGGGCATCCCTCCATGACCCACTGCCCTGTCTATCGGGGGAAGATTGGTTCATGGAGACTGAGCTCTCCTTCACTAAAAATATCATTGCCTCTCTGGTTCGTCCCAACACACTGGGACTTACGTTATCCGTTGGGCCTCCTAACAGGCCTGCTGAGCAACGTGGTCTAGACAGGGGTAAGCTCCATCGCACCACCCAACCCTAGCTTCAAGCTTGTGACCAACGCGCAGGGAACGCTTTACAAGCAAAAGATCTTGTCAAATAGTAAATGCCTCAAAGACCATGGATATTGACTTGGAGACATTCTTTTCAATCCTGTAAGGGTATAGGTTGTCTCGTAGTCTCATGTGCGGCTAAACTCTGAGAGGAGTCCATGTATTACATGACAAGGCTTCTCACAAACTGTCTTGGCCCTCGCGGGCGTTTTTTTCTGAGCTGGTAAGTTCATCAAGGAAAAAAATCTCTCTCTTTAGGAGCATCATGTTCCCATATTCCGACTTGGTGAGAAAGCCACTCGGCGCGTCACCTGCTGGGCTGGTAACAACGATTGTGCCTTTTCTCTTTCACCAGACATGCTTCGTGGTCAAAAATAGCGCAAGCTTTTGTGGATTGTGATAGAAGCGGCATGTGATTTCCATCAGTCTCTGGCCTGGCGGCTACTCTCTGACACTATGCCTATGTCTAGACATTAGATGTAGAAGGCCGAGAACGTCCACACGAAGGGTTGACATGAGGCTGCTATGATAGATCTGCCAACCCTCTTGGCATGCAGATGTGACTGTGATAACTTTCCGGGATAAACCGAGCTTATGGATAAGTGGCGTTTGGCGACAGTGTGTGGTGATGTGGGACCTGTAGTTCGGCGTGTTCTTTATATAGAACCCACCCCAGGCAAACTTTCCCTTCGTGGGTTGTCCACTGCCTACAGCCAATGCGAGCACTTGCTTCACAAGCCGTAGCAAAAATAGGGTTCCTAAGATTGTCGACCAACCTAGAGATCCGGCACCACGGCCTTTCTGGTAAGGAGATGCTCCGCTCTGCACACTTGCACAGATTTGCAGGATTGCAGAATGACATTCGGCGTCAAACTTAGCCGCTGTACCTCGTCGTTTCGTTGCATCTCGACTCCACAGAGCATGCTGGTTAAGATAACATCGAATGAGCAGTCCGCTAGGCTGCCGGCGGAATGCAAGCAAAGTCCGTTCTCACAGTCACATCGAAGAGCCAACCTCATTGTGCCAGTTTTAGACATCATCACTCCCATTGCGAGATGTTTTGTCCTCCACAGCCAACCAAGATCATGTGTGTCCAGTACCAGACTGTTACAGCTCGGGCCTGAGGAGAAAGTGTCGATACATGACACCTCTTTTTCTTGGGAGACCGAGCCAATTTGATACTGGAAACGGGCAGCATGGACAAAAGACAGTCTTTCGCCAGAGCAACCTGCTCTTTAGTAGACCAGGGGAACCCACGAGCCTTGGAGCCGGCTACGTGTCTCTGAGCTAAACAGATGCAGGGTTTCGGTACAATTCAGTGCCATTCCCTTTGTGCTTTGACCGAGATCACTACGATATAGAATAGGACCCCTTGTCAAATGCTGAACGACCAGTAATCTTGAAGTGTTGCGTCATAACTTGTAGTGCTCGAAAAGAGCAGCTCCAAAGTCATGCCACTTTTCGTGCTGTAACGAGCTTGTCGGAGAGCTATTGGTGTAGAGATTGTCCCTGTTCGTCTTCGACGTTGGTCATCGTTAGGAACACCCACGATGTCCGTATATTCATTGCGTAGGTCTTCTGCATAATGAATATTTGAATAACGCTTCTGTTCAATAGCCGGCGCAGTTGATGGAGTACTGATCAATCATCTTGAGGACAGCGCGCAGAAAGGCAGTTGGGCTAGTCTTTTACTCCATGTTCCCCGATTCTTGCGATTGGAAAGACAATGCCAGGTCTAGAGCAAGCGGACCAAATGCCGCCCTGAACCTCAATGGGATGCAAACTCTGTATTCACGGCTCCAGGGTAAAATATTCCATGATGCAGGCGTCAGAGGATGTGTTAGCGCTTGATCGAGGAGGAAGAAAGATTGTAGAAGTCGCGATCAGCATCGCAAGGCTGAAGAAGTTGTGGGTGGGGCGGGACCCCTTGCAGGGTGGGGGCCTGACGAGGCTGACGGGCTGTGGCTTTGACCGATTTTTTAGCGGCACCACTCATAGAATCTCTCAGGATTTCTACGGCCTTCTTTTTAAGCTTCTCTTCCCGACCTTCATATCCTGCCTGCAACGTCCAGCCGCCCGCTCCTTACCACCTGGTCTGGTCTCCTCACCACCACTACCCGCCCGCCAGTTCCTAATCGTTCATTCACAGTGTTGAATTCAATCGCCAGTATCAGGTGAGATCTTGTCCTCTCATTTCCCGTGCTCTCTGTTGCATTTGCTTCGTCTAGCTGTCCTGATGATACCCCAGCTGGCACCAGTCATAGGGTTTTTTGTACTCTCTCCTTTGATGACAAACGCTGCAGGTCTATATGACCGTCTCTGATTGACATACTACTTCTCCTGTTATCTGTCACTTTAGCCTCTTCGCAAGAGCAGTTTGCGCTGACATTGCGAGGTCACAGATCTGTTCGGTCGACCAGCCTGATCCTCTAACCCCACCCACACATCTCAAGATGGTCCTGCACAACCCCAATAACTGGCATTGGGTCAACAAGGATGTTTCGGCCTGGGCCAAGCAGTGGTTCGAGGAGAACCTGTCCAAGCTGGAGGTAGAGGATGGCGGTGTCAAGGCAAAGATTAGCAAGGTCATCAGCATGGACGGCGATGTGGACGTCAGCCAGCGCAAGGGCAAGGTCATCACCATCTTCGACGTCAAGCTGGTGCTAGAATACAGTGGCTCTACATCCGATGAGGATGATGTTTCGGGCACTATTACCGTGCCCGAGGTTGCCCACGACACCGAAGAGGACGAGTTTGTGGTACGTTAGTCTCTCCAGGCTCTCTGCGTCATCAAGCATGCTCACACAATCTGCAGTTTGACATCGACATCTACTCTGAGTCAAAGGAGAAGCAGCCAGTCAAGGACCTGGTTCGGTCTAAGCTCACTCCCCAGCTCCGAAAGGAGTTCCTCAAGCTGTCTCCGGCTCTGATTGCCGAGCACGGCAAAGATATCCAGCACGCCCCTGGCTCTAACCCTTCGAGCGGCTTCAGCACCCCGAAGTACCATCCTCAGGCGGCTGCTCCAAAATCCACTGCGCCAGTGACAAGCTCGCAGAGCAGTAGTGGCAAGGTTGTAAATACAACCACTGTCACAGATACCGAGGAGTTCAGGACAACCGCGGCCGAGCTCTACCAGACCTTCACCGACCCGCAGCGACTAGCCGCCTTCACAAGAGCCCCTCCCAAGGTGTTTGAGGGCGCGAAGAAGGGCGGCAAGTTCGAGCTGTTTGGCGGTAACGTTGTTGGAGAGTACTTGGAGTTGGAGGAGCCCACAAAAATTGTGCAGAGTTGGAGATTGGCACAATGGCCCGCTGATCACTACTCGAGGCTGGAAATCGAGTTTGACCAGAACGATGTTGACAGCGTTACATCGATGCGCGTCAATTGGAGCGGCGTGCCCATCGGACAGGAAGAGGTGACAAAGCAAAACTGGGGAGAATACTACGTCCGGAGCATCAAGAAGACTTTTGGGTAAGCATTCGATTCAACTCTACTAATTTCTTGCATCGTTGCTGACATCTTAGACAGTTTCGGAACCATCTTGTAGTAGACATGTATTGCAACCTATGAGCTAATGACAATGAGTAAAAAATTTCAAACCAATTGCTACTTGCCATGCTGTGACTGTTTGCTTGACAAAGATAGGAGGGTCAGTAGACCGGCCTGACCCCGCCAATTTAGCAATCAATTGAACTAAGGTGCATCTCCCATCAGTTTTAAGCCGCAAGCCCGATTTCGATGACTGATAACAACAACCTAACTTACTGCTCATTTGTCTTCAATGATTGAACCCTCAACTTTGATCTAGCAAATCGCCAAGATGGCTCAGGTATACAAATTTGCGCTTATTCAAATGCAGCCCAAGGTGAGTCGTACTGCATCCTTGCGATCCCTTCTTTCACAATGTCAACCTCCTCTACCATTTGTGCAGTTTGAAGGTCAATTGCAAGTGTCCTTTTCTCTTCTCGTCTGCAGTTCCAATTGTTGTTTCGACCTGTCATGATTCAAGTCAATCAGAAAAGTTGATTCCAAGTACTCATTGCTCTTCATAGCCTGTGGCTCCGGCCGAAAACTTCGCCAAGGCCGAAGCATCGATCCGGTCCGCAGCGGCGCAAGGGTGTCATCTCGCCGTACTTCCGGAATACCACTTGACTTCCTGGGTACCCGAGCATCCGGATTTCGTCGCCTCAAGTGCAGAGTCAGAGTCCTATCTGCCGCGGTATCAAGCTCTTGCTCGTGAGCTGAACATCAATATCGTGCCTGGCACCATCTGCACCGCTCATCCTGCCGGCCCTCATGCTCCAAATGATGGCGAAAAGGAGCTCCGGAACATGGCGTTCTTCATCTCTGCCGGCTCAGGAGATATAGCCGGGTCCTATCAGAAGAAGAATTTATGGCATCCCGAACGACCACATCTGACATCATCGAAGCATGATCCACATACAGCGTTCGATACGCCGTTGGGAGTACGCGCAGGCATGCTTGTGTGCTGGGATCTGGCGTTTCCTGAGGCATTCCGAGAGCTTATTGCCGATGGAGCACAACTAATTGTCATCCCAAGCTACTGGCATTTGACAGATGTCGATCCGCAGGGACTTGCCCTAAATCCCGATAGCGAGAAGGTGTTCCTGAACTCGACGACAGTCTCTCGAGCATTCGAGAATACATGCTGTGTTGCATTTTGCAATACTGGAGGGCTCAGCCAGGTGACGATGCCAATCATTGGAGGAATGGGAACACTTGGAATAGAGGAGGATGCGATGAGCATTGTCGAGGTGGATTTTGATGTTTTGAGAATTGCGGAAGAGAATTACAAGGTCAGGGAGGACATGAGAGGCGAAGGTTGGCACTATGCTCATACACTGACCCGGAAAGAGCCTCGGCCTTAGTAAACTCAGTCACCACAACAAGCTATTGTCATTTTGTTTAAAATTGACACGCTACCTACTCACTGTGTTTGTCTTTTTCGGGCGCGGTTGCTTCTTGTTAACGCGTTTCGACATCCAGTCTGAGATAACTACCCTCACGTGCTTTCCCCAGCTTCCTGTCGTCGTCAACGAATCCCTCTCCATCACATACCAACCACTTTCCGACCTTTAGACCTGCAGATTCATCTTGAAATTATCGTCACTCATCCTTTTCCTTTTTGTCCGGAAGCTCTATCTTCTTGTTCTTTAGACGCCATACATCAACCTGCTTCTATTCCTGGTCACAGCTTTTGTCTTTCTTTCTGCTGACGCAAAATCGAGCCCTTCTTGCGACCTTTCATTCATCATCTGCAACATCCAGGGTTTCAAATTCTGAAGCCCATCCCGCTATCAACCATGGCCGGCCTTCAAGAGATTGACGACCATCTCATTGAGCGGGCAGCCGCAGTGTGTGAGGATCTTATCACCTTCTTTGACGCGTGGGATCATCAGAGCGATTCCCACAAAGTGCTCCTCAGGAATACTCACAAGCTGCTCACATGTATGCACAATGCATACAACCCACTCAGACTCACACCAACCCAGCTGAAAAACTGCAAAAATGGGCTCAGAGCCATGGCACCATTCTTCAAGGAGCTCCGCGACATCAAGCTGACAGTTACCTTGTTCCCTCCTGATTCCCACATACAGGACCCCAAAAACCCTCACTCATTGTCACAGTTCGTCATTCTTCGCCTGGAAGATATCCTCGAATTGATAACATGCCTCTCGAAGCCATGCACTCGCGCGCTCCAACTTCCCATCGCCTGTACAGTTGAGAATCCCCTATTCAAGCAGCAACTGGACGCGATCTTTTATATTTGGCCGCCAGATGACCATGCATTCAAAGCATTGGAAGTGAAAGACTACCATGAGCTTATGCCATTCATATCTAGGCAGACAGAAGCGCTCGACAAGTATGCACTAGGTACTGGTAGTCACATCCTCGAAAGCCGTCTGCTGCGTGACTGGATTGGCAGCATGAATAGCAAGGTTTTGTGGTTGGTCGGCCCAGAAGGCACTGGGAAAACAGTGCTTGCTTCTGTAATTGTTGATGCGTTACAAGTCAAACTCCCCTCTTCAGGATTCGGCATTGCCTGTGCCTTCTTGCAACCACAAGATCTAGAGCAGTCAGCGATGCTGATACTTCGACAACTTCTTCACCAACTCGCCGAACAGACGGTCGGGGACCTTGTACGAGAGATACGAAATGACATCAATAATCCCCGTATTGCAGATTTCAAGCTTTGTTATGACCTGAAGAAGGTCGTGTCAGCATTCAACAGGGTCTATCTAATACTAGATGCAATGGACACGAAGGCTGGCCTCAACCTGCTGACCAATGATTCGTTCCTCTCTCATCTCAAAGATACGGCTGTTTGGATTCTTCTGACGTCTCGCATGGCGCCGCGACCTGGACTGTTTGACACAGCACCAGTGCTAAAGGTACAACCTGATCAGGATATTGTCTCAACTGTAATACAACAGGAAATCGAACGCAAGCCTCATCTACACCAAATGTGTTGGGTGACACCGGGACTGAAAGAGAAGATCCTGGACAAACTGGTACAAGGTGCCAGCAGAAGGTCAGTACACAAGGCCTTTGAGGCGTCGCATGCAAGTTGACACTTTCTCATAGTTTCACGCTGCCTCTTGTCAATCTAGAGTATCTCTCTACCAAATCAACTGTCATTGAGCTACTTGACGCCCTCTTGTCTATGCCAGATACCGCCGGCAAGGCCTATCAGAAGCTCTTGGTGAGCGCTCTAGTGGATCAGCCGCCGAGTGGACGAGAACTAGCAAAGGGTGCCATGTTCTGGCTGTGTTACGGTCGAAGGGATCTGTCAGAGAAAGAATTGACAGAAGGGATGGCGGTACTGCGTCATAGTAAGGAGGAGCGAAATCTCCTGAACAGCGATTTCCGCGACTCGGCACTAGCCCATGTGACAAATGGTATGGCTAAGTTCGAACCTCTACACTTGTCGACGATGACCTCTTTCAATTTCAATTACCCTGTTGCTCGCCTTGCTTACCATACGTCACAACCCGAATTTCGAGCACAACTCCAACAGTATCTGCCTCACGGGCACACGAGAGCTGCGCAGGCCTGCCTTAGATACATGTCCCTTACGTATTCGACTGCAAAAGTCACGCAGACAGCGGTAACCACCCCATTTCTTCCGTATGCCATCCAGTTCTGGAACGAGCATGCTAGCTACGGAGACCAACTTGCGTTGAAAGAGGACATCTACGCCTTCTTCGGAAATGCAGGTCTCATCGCATGGGTTTTTGATACTTGGCAACGTGGTCTTTCGTCTTCTTCTATCATCCGCGGCTGGCAAAAGAAGCTTCCACTGCACCTTCCTCTCGCTGGAAATCTTCCTCCCCTGGACCTGGCGACGCTTTTTGGGCTGCCGAAGATAGTTGAGAGCTTACTCCAAACAGGAGCAGATTCTCTGAGAACTTTTTCGGATTTCAGTCCTCTACTACACTTCGCGGCTGTTCAGGATAACCCTGAGATCATCAGACATCTCGTACAAGCCAAGGTTCCTTTGGCTGCACTTGACAAAAGCGGTCAAGGAGCCCTACATTATGCGGCACAGCGTGGTATTTATGACAATATGAGATGCTTGCTTGAGGCTGGGTCATCAGTCGATGCTCGCGATAGCAACGGCAATACCGCGTTGAACTTCGTAGCCATGATTGGCAGCTGGAAATCGATTGGTCTGCTGGTCAGACACGGTGCTACCAACAATGCAGACAATGATGGGCGGACAGCACTACATGCAGCATGCATGAATTGTCATGGCTTTACAGCTTCTGTTCTGATAATGGAGTTTGGTGAAGTGAACGCTCGAGATCGTCAGAATCGTACGCCTTTACACGCGGCTATCTTCAACGGGCACACCAAGGTAGTAAGCACTCTCATAACTCACGGTGCAGACCTCGAAGCTTGTGACGACAAGTCCAGAACACCGCTCATGTACGCTGTCACCACTACCAGTGTGGACAGAGTCAAGATCGTCGAGTCCCTGGTGAAGGCTGGTGCTAACGTTGAAGCACGCTGTAAGAAAACAGGGCAGCGTGCTGTTGACATGGCTCGGGATGCACAAGCTCAGTCTATGATGAGTCGCCAATGTCTGGACGATATTCTGGAAGCATTGAGACTACAGGCTAGTTAGACATAATCGACTTGCGAATCCCATTTGGACCATATAGCCATGGGTTGATCAGTTGTGTACGAACGCAAAGGAATTTCTGAAGGCATCAATGTCGATAGCTTATTCTACTTTGAGAGGTAGAGAGATAACCTAATGTCATCATATGTACAATTCTATATACAAAACACTGTGAATAACTTTCTGCCTTAATCAGGCATTCATCTTGCTCACCACAGCGCCTTTTTATTGTTTACTTGCTAATTGTCGCGTTGTGTCAAGTTACCAACCTTCCTGTGCCTTCCTTCTTTACCGACAAATCTCAGATGGCCCCTCTCACGACACCCAGCATGACTTCGTCGATAATCAAGCCTCCTTCTATTGTCTTTCACCAACTCATATTCCTGCTAGCGACCTCTCTTTCATCATATTTCTTCAACCCTTGACGTATCTCCTTTCCCGCTGGCAAATACATCACGATACTGAACACAATCTTTCAACTTGTGCTGCAATAGCCAGCAGCTTTGGCGACGATGGCGGACAACAGAGACCATGAATTCACCCTCCCAATTGCCCACGCAATCAGGGTGATCAAGGGCCTGACTGAAATCTACCAGCCCTGGAATCAGCAAGCACATATCGCAGTTATTATCCAGCTGCTTGAAATTACCAAGACTTCCTGTGACGAAATACTGGACGCCTATATTCCGCCATCTGATCTTCTCAACGCCCAGGGTGCTGCCCTCATCAATGGCTACAAAGCCGCGAAGCCCCACGTCGAAGAACTTGTAGGAACCTTCGAGACTCTAACATGTGTCAGAGAGACAGGAGAGCCAACACCCCCTTACACAACTGCAACTCGTACCTTGAATAATTTGCAGGAAATACTGGCGAGCTTCCGTTGTTCCTTGGCACCATATCAACGTGTTCTGCGTATTGTCCCCTTAACAGAGAATTTGCGCTTCATCGCTCACTTGGATGCTTTCTTCCGGGACACCTGTGATGGCTTCAGCAACAATGCCTACATCTCACCAACAGAGTTGGACAAGGACGCGATGCTACCGGTCCGATCCATTCAGAGAGGAAATCTCTCACGATATTTGAGAGGAACAGGTCTTTCCTTTTTCACAAACCATCAGCTCCTTAGCTGGTTGGCCAGTGAGAAGGACATCATCTTCTGGTTGAAAGGTGTCTCAGCAAGTGGCAAGACGGTTCTTGCATCAATGCTTGTCGAGATGCTGGAAGTCAAGCTGCCATCCTCAGACATTGGAATCGCATTTGCCTTCTTTGCTCCAGGGGGCCCGACAGTGCCAATGGAGCAAGTCTTTCATGTCCTCACCCAGCAACTGGTCTCTCGGATGACTCATGTCCCAGCACACCTTCAAGGTCTCCAAAATCGCGTGCTACCTCCAGCCACGAGCGTCGATGCTTTCCAGCTGGCGACGATGTGCTTCAAGCACACTTTCGTTGTCATAGACGGCATCTTGGAAGCATCCGCTCGCGAGTTCCGGGAGCATCAATCATCCCTCTTCCGTGGACGGGGTCCTCCGGTCCATCTTTTGCTCACACATGTCACTGGACCTAACCGACCTTGCCCCCAGCCAAGCCTTAGTCTCACACTTTGGATGACCAAGGCCGAAATCAGAACCTTAGTTTCTCGGGCTTACAGCTTTAGAAGCTACCTGGTCAGCATTACTTCCAGACCGGACGCTTTCTCCAAAGACAGCATCTGGAACACGCTTGTGGCTCGGGCAAATGGAGGGTTAGTGCATCCTGCATACAAAACGTGAAAACTCTGCTGACAGAGAACGTGACAGCTTCTTCATTCCCAGCATCGATATCGAGATCCTTTCTGATTGTCTGCTGTCTCAGGAGGTGAACTCTGTGCTGTCAATATTGCCCAATCGACTGCGGCCATTGATCGATTATATCTTCGATATACTTTTGCCAGGAACTGCCAAGAGCGAACAGATTCTAACGAAAAAGGCTCTGAACTTGCTCTATAATGGTCTTCGATCGCTCTCTTTTGAGGAGATGCACCACGCAATTGGCGCAACGCAGTTAGACCGAGGAGAGGACAAGGTCTTTAGTCCTGCCATTTTCACAGACGTCATGCTTTCAAAAGCAAGCAAAGGAATGATTGTGTTTGAACCGGTACATCTCGTCGGAAAGAATGGCTTGCCCTCTTCCAGCTCGCTAGCCCGATGGTCCAACTTTGCACGACATGAGCACTGCCAACTTCGAATAGAACGCCTTGTTCTAGATGGGGATACTGAGCTAGCTCGAGATTGCTTGAGGTACATCTCTGCAGCATTCGCGATATCAAAAGGCGGCGCTTCGGCGGGACAATAGTATTTTCTCGCCTATGCTATCCAATACTGGCACATTCATGCCAGCGACGGTCACGAAGCTTCATTGAGAGAGGAAATCCTGTCTTTTCTGGGCAACAAAGAACTCGTCAAGTGGGCACTGACCACCTGGTGCAAGTCATACAACCCTCCGAGGGGTGATCGATTGTGGCAAAGCAATTCGCCTTTCAGTGACGACTGTTATGTCTCTGATGTTCTACACCCTGCTCTTCTGGCCGCATTGCTTGGTTTGGACGAGACCTTGAAGCACTTGATCCAACCAGACTCATATGCCACAATGTCTTGGTCAGTGTGGACTCCTCTGCATTTGGCAGCTCGGTGTGGCCACACCTCAATTGTCGATTACTTGCTTCAGTGCAAAAGCTCGGTGGATGTCCAATCCGGGGGATACCTCCGGACACCTCTGCACCTTGCTGCCAACGGCGGCCATACCAGCGTTGTCGACCGTTTGCTCGCGGCAGGGGCCTGCGTCCACAAATGCGACCGCTTCGGCAAGACCCCTCTACATCTTGCAATGAGGAACGGTCATCAAGATATCATACTGTCCTTGGAGAAACAGGGAGCTGTCGATACGCCAGATCGTTTTGGGCTCACAGGCTTACACCAAGCGTCGTCGATGGGGCATCCCAAGACAGTCGAATATATCATTCAAAAAGGAATGATGAATATCAACGCAGAGAACAATATGAAACGCACCCCCTTGCATCTCGCCTGCAACGGAGGCCACCTGTCAACGGCAAATCTTCTTCTGACCAACGGCGCCGATGTGAATCACTACGACGTCATCAAGTGGACGCCGCTCAACTGGGCAATCGTCCGCAACCATACTCACCTAGCAGAGGTGTTGGTAGCCAGCGGCGCAGAAGTCAATCCACAGAGCGGCCTGAGCCGCTGCGCCTTGTATCTTGCGGCTGAGAATGGCCTCCCTGGGACAGTTCGCCTGCTGCTTAGCCGTGGTGCGAACGTCGAGGGTCATGCCAACCCGGTAGGAGTAAAGCGACCGCTTCTGGGAGCGGTCGACTTCCAGAAGAACGTAAGAGCGGAGACAAGACTCGACATTGTCAAGCAGTTGGTGGATGCTGGCGCAGATATAGGTGCGAAGGATGAGAGGCAGAAGACGGCGGCGGACCGAGTTCGAGAAAAGGCACCCACGATGAGCCCGCAATTGTTTGAGCGCTTTATGGCTTTGCTCTCTTTCGAGAGTGATGCAGATATCATCAAGGCCTGATATATATTGTGGCTCACATGACGAGTTTCAACGTACACAGGGGTGCAATGGATTCTGTCGGTCGAAGCTGGATTCTGTGTTGGAAAATATGGTGATGGCATTGATGGCATTAAGTCATACTTTGTACATTTAAATATAGGGCTAAATTAGCTGGTATCTTCCCCAATCGGTCATTGTATCACCACCGTACCAAGTATCATCCTACGTTGTTGCAACATCACTTTCAGGCTTAGGAATATCCCTTAACGCAAACCTCGCCTGGAAATTTGACTGCTTGACAAACCAAGCATTGCATGTCTGCCACTCTTTCGACGGATCCTGAAAGTCGATCTGTGTTCTTGTTAATACTCTCGTGCATTTGTCTAGGCGGAAAAACTCACCTCAAATCGCCTCAGCAGACTCGGCACCACCTTGTATATCTCCAACAAGCTGATGTTCTTGCCAATACACGTCCTCGACCCCTGCCCAAACTGACACATGGTGCCATTCATCTGTTTGATGCGCTGCTCCTCCGCCTCCCTCGCCGCCGGACTCGTCGCGGCAATCTTCTCGTCAATCAGCCACCTGTCTGGCCGATAGACGTCGACATCCTCGCCGAATATATCGCGGTTTCGGTGCAGCACCCACGCGTTGCACCCGACAAGTGTGCCGCCCTTGATGAAATGGCCGTCGATCTCCGCTCCCTGTGGCGGAACAATGCGCTCCATGGGAAGTCCTGGCGCAGGATGCATTCTGAATCCTTCCTTGACGCATGCGTCGAGGTACTCTAGCTTCTGGCTCTCCTGCCACGTCACAAGGCCCGTCTCGTAGTCGCTGAACAGTCCTTTCCTTCCCGCCTCGTCTAATTCTTGCCTTAGCTTGGCCAATGCGCTTGGATTTCGTAGTAGGAAGTAGAAGACGCTGCTCAAACTAATCGCGGTGGTCTCAGATCCAGCGAATGCCATTGACACGGCCATGGTCTGAACGAGCGTGTCAGTCATGAAGTCCGGGTGAGCCTCCTGCGCGGCTAAGAATTTGGAGAGCAGATCCGGGCTTTGGCCCTTCTTCTCTGATGTCGGCAAGATTCCCTTGTCTGTGTCGATTGTCGGTAATCGTTCAGACATACGAGTGCGGGCGAAAGCTGCGACTGGAGATGTTACGTCCATGAGTCCCCAGTCCCCGAGCTTGAGGTACAGCGGGTTCTTGAGGATAAGCTTGTCGAGCAATGGAATTTGACCAACCTGTAAACTGTCAGAGATTTTCAAAAGAAATCAAATAAGGACATACATACGGGAGCCACATAATTGAAAAGCCACGTCAGGTAGGCTACGATCCCATCTATGTCCTCATTCTTCTCAATGAATCCATGTCTCTGGCTGTACGTTATCTCGCCAATGACATCGAACGCATAGAATTGCAACCAGCGAGTGAAGTCGCAGCCATCTGGGTTGTTCGCATATAGCTTCTCCGTCTGCTTTAGGAACAACTTGGTCGTGTTGTCAACGAAGGGTTCGTACTGGACCAGTGCCGACATAGCAAAGGCCGAGTTGACACAACGGCGGAACTGCTGATGGAAGTCATTGTCGACTGTACTAAACAAGCTTTGGAGGCTGTGTCCCTTCACGACAGACTGCTGTACCACGTAAAAGTCGGACTGTGAGGCAAGGGGGGAACGTTAGTGTAATCCGGAGAGGCTTAGACTTCGGAAGAGTTCATACCTTGACATATCCTTTGTTGAGACCGTATATTGTCTTCAGCGCCTTAGGATCGGCGAACGACAGTAGGTTAGGGCCGATCCGTACTACCGGACCATATTTTTTATGAAGCTCGATGTAAGTGTCTTCGGCGTGACGGCCCCAAACATCAACGAAGCGCCACCAATCCGTCAGAGATGCCAAGAAGGGGCCAGGATACTTGTTAAGCCCTTTTTGATACCGGTTCCTTAGCAGCCATGCCGCAACGAGTGACAGGCATACGCCCAGCCAGTGCTGCCGTATAAATTGGAATAGTTGATCTGTAATCATGGTATTTTGCGAGGCTCGGAGATGTTGAAAGGTAAGAAGTCAGATATGTGCGAAGGTCGTCGGGAACAAGGATAAATGGGAACGAGAGGTCAACAGGTTGAGCTGTCAATGGCGAGTCAAGGAGATATGATCATGTGAAGCCAACGTAGTCACTTCATGAGACGTCGGATGCAGACCAATATCACGACTTACTAACGGAAAGGAGGGAGTAGGATGAGGGTCAGCTGGGCCTGGGAATTATTTATTGCGTTTCTATATTGGTCTTGTCTCCCGGCGCTGGACGACATCAACGGGCCATAGAAAGACTTGCCGTCCCGCCATTCCCCGGCTCTTGGCAAGAGACGGGCTCAGATATTGAGAGTGATGCGGAGATGGGCTTCCCTGGGAACTGAAGAGCGGTACATCGCACGGCCGGTAGCAGCTTAGAATGCTGACCAGGGGAGCACTGACAACGGCAGCAGGATCTTCCTCGCTGGAGCAAGTCTGTGCCGTGTCTTCTTGGCGAGCCATCCACTCAGGCGGCCTACCCGTCCTAACCCAGGAGGTCGGAAGGGAGCCAGGGAAGATAAGGTGTCTAGTTCTCCCGCCCCGGTGCCGACTGTTGAGAATCTTATGGGAACTCGCCGCCATTTTTGGGACGATTCGTCCACATGGCCCTGAAGAGGCAATCCTAGCGGTAAGTCAGTCCCCACGTCATCAGCCCCGATGCCCCCAAATTCCCAATGCCGTGCCACAGTGGTGGGGCAGTTGGTGGGTGGTCAGTGAGGGGGAGGGGCAGATGTTAACTCCACAAAGGCGAGAATGCGCCCTCCAACAATTTTCGGCAGATGCACCATCCAATGGATGCTAGACTAGGCTCCCAGCCGCTTCAAGAGACCTAGAGAGCCACAGTTCTCGATTGCTGGTAGCGGAAACTGCCAAAAGGACAAAAGCAGTAAGCCGCCACGGTGCCGGCAAGGCCGATATCTGCGAAATCAGAGGTTTTGAAGATACGGTTATTCGGTATCACGACGGAAGACTCGTAGCGAGCGAAGCTTTTCGTGTGTCTCAGTCGACTTCATGGGCCTGCGGGCAACCGGCGGCAGCAACTCTAATTGATCGCTCGCGCGCAGTCAGTTCTGGTTCCTCCTTGAACCCGGAAGAAAATACGCTTTAACAATGACCTCTTGCTTGTTCAGGTCTGTCTCGGATGTGACTTTGGACTATTGAAACTCTTGAAAAGCGTGACACCAACTTCTGATGGGAACCAATTCGCTATCAATTATCCGAGCACTCCCGGGTAAGTAGCCGAGGATTGGATCCTAGTCCGTGGACAGCTCAAATGTCAGAAGCACTTTGAACTAGTGTTCATGATGATTGTCCTCACAGGTTGGTGCAGGCAAACTTGGAATTGTAGCTTCGGGTCATTCAAACGGGTATCGTATGTTGGAAGCGTGTTGCCAATCGTCCGTGTCCCGGGTGAATAGATAATCCAAAGTTAACCCAAGCCTCAACGGACTTCCGCGTGGCTCATCGCGCCATTCCGCGCCTCTAGTCAGCATAACACGAATGGATTCATCATTCCTTGGGAACCTTCTGCAAAAGTTCGTCTGATGGCAGACCACTTTTGTTGACTCACCCTGCTTCAAAGTTGGTAGGCATGGCATCTTCAATTTGGCCAGGCTGGCAGGAGAGAATATGCCGACGTAAGTCGGCATATTGTCCATCAAAGCCCCATGACTGCGTGAGACATGTGTGGCTTAGGAGAGCACTTGCCTTGACCACTTCCGCTGCAATTGGCCCCGTTCGGCACTTGAAATTGACAGCTTGAGGTCGACAGGAGAGGCGATGAGTGCGGCGACGTGGTATGTGTCTCCTGGGAGTCGGTAACTTCTTTAAGCTCCGTAGATTCTGGGAAACATCCGACTTGAGAACCTGGCTGCATTAGCGCTTAAGACAGGGGACTATGGGGGGATATAAGGTGTGGCCTTGCCGCTCTGATCCCCTGCGGTGGTACTGTACGACCATGTGCTTTAATATAAACAGTTGATTAAAATATGTAGCTCGCCGCACCTCTAAATCCCGTTGGTTTGCTCGTAAACATCATCTCTGAAATCGAATGTAGGACATGTTTGATGGCTTCACCGCAGGTGAAGAGGCATCGTTGAGGGGGTTTGGCGGCATTTGAGTGAGGCGCAACGTGAGAGACAAGCTTGCACTTGTCTTCCGTCCCTCGAGTCCCATGGGTAGGATGTGCTCAGGGAGTTGTCAGACGGACTCACCAGCTTGCTCCATCTCTATCGCGTCGCGGCTTGGGCTTTTTCCACATCACGTCACTCATCCCAAATGCTTCCAACGAAAACATGGGAGATTGTAAATGACGGGACAAGATTCAACCTTGGAAGCCAAAATGGGAGCAAGCGAGGTGCTCTTGACAAAGCGAGCTCAACTGAAGGAGATCATTGTTTATATACTTGTGAGGAGGTCATGGGATTTGAATTCGGAGCGAATGAATTGATGGAAGAACGAGAACTTCCATTGCAAGATGTGACGACAAGAGCGAGGCGATTGCTCCTGCCTGTTGGGTTTGTAATGACGTATGAGGAGTGCTCTTGCCAGATTTATTTGTTCCAACTATGTGCTATGGGTGACCAGAATATCTACACAAAGGTAAGCTTTATATGACAGCCATCAGACTCTCAACTCCGTCTTTGATCTTGTAGAGTATAACGAAGGTAAGGACAATAATATTTGAGGTACTGTTGTTCGGAGTTCCCCACCTACAGTACATGGACATGCCTCCTAAGTGTCAGGTGGCTGGCCTCCTAGCCTTGGTTCACTGCTTTGAGCAAGTTCCTACAGGTGAGATCTCACAGATGACAGATCCCAGCTTCAGCCTCCTGGCGATCAGGCCATGAGGATCCTCCATTCCCCCAGATAGCATCACCCCGCCCGCATTCCGTGGGTGGTCCCGTCCCTGCATGGCGGGCCCGGCTTGCGGGGTAGCTCCGGGCACCTTCTGCTGGAGGACCCTGTGGAGCTCCGGAACCCTTGGAAGGTGGGGTTGGTGTAAAACACTTTGATGCCGCATCTCGGACCCGTCGTATGAAAACGGAAAGCAATCATGGACAACAGTCGGGAATGAATATTAGAAGACCAAAGTCCCTCTATTGAATGCTCTGGTGGCTACTGAACTGAACTCTGCTCTTGACTTTCTTCAATTCAGACCATCTCCGTGGAAGCATCCAAAGCCGACTGAAGACGATTGCCGGACTGGAGAGCCCTTGTAACCATGACCTCCACCGAAGCAAAAGGGGCAAACGGTGTAGCCGACGACTTCCCAGTCCTGCATCGCGACACCGCCGACAAGGAGACCTTCAATGCCGCAGTCTGGGACCCCGTCTTCAACCACCGGCGAGCAACGGAACGTGTGCCCCGCGCCGTAGTCAAAGCCCGCACAGCCGCACATGTCCGGCAGGCCGTGGAGCTCGCCGCAAAGGAGAATTGCCGTGTCAGCGTTCGCAGCGGTGGCCACAGCTGGGCTGGATGGAGTGTGCGTGATGATGCGGTGCTGATTGACCTCGGAACCTTGCCGAGCGGAAAGAGGTACGACGGATCGGTGGACGATGGCATCAGCTATGATCCCACCACGCATGTTGTCAGCTGTCCGCCTAGCACAACCGGTCAGATCCTCAATGGAGTACTCAAAAAGAAGGGCAGGATGTTCGCAGGCGGGCACTGTCCGGATGTAGGGCTCGGCGGATTCTTGCTACAGGGAGGCATGGGCTGGAACTGCAAAGTGAGTGCGCCAACTTTTCCAGTACTGAAAGCCCTCTAACCAACTGGTCTGGCAGAACTGGGGCTGGGCTTGCGAATACATCGTCGGGGCCGATGTCGTGACCGCAGATGCAAGGGAGCTTCACTGCAGTGCGGAGGAGAACGCTGATTTGTTCTGGGCGGTGCGAGGATCAGGTCCAGGTACGGCTTGTAACTTGATAAAGAACACATGGCACAAACTGATATCATCCCAGGATTCCCGGCCGTTATCACTAGGTTCCACCTGAAGACTGTGCCACTATTCGAGCTGTACCAGAGTCTTTACATCTATCCAATCTCGGAATACCGAACAGTGCAAAAGTGGGTAGTAGATGTATGCAGACCATGAAGCCCATTTCACGCTCAACTCGGCTAATACAAGCATCAGCTATGCCCAACAGCAGACCCAGACACAGAGATCGTCACCGTCGGGCAATACCTCTCCGGCACAGACGACCACGTCATTCTCGCCAACTTCCTAAGCTTCAAGCCCAGCCGCGCCGAAGCCGAGGCGGCTCTCCAGCCGCTGCACGACAGCCGGCCACCGGGCGCCAAGATCGAAGTCTTCAGCCAGACGACCTCGCTGGAGCTGCAGTACTGCGACCAGAAGGCCGCCAACCCAGAGAACCACCGCTTCTGCTCGGAGAACGCCTACGTTGGCAACGACGAGGATGTGGTGGGCATCCTGGAGCGCGCCTACACGACGCTGCCCACGCGCCAGTCCTTCGCCATCTACTACGCCATGAACCCGACCTCGCGGCGGCCCCTGCCCGACATGGCGCTGTCGATGCACTCGGACCACTACTTTGCGCTGTACACGTGCTGGAAGGACGGCGCCCAGGACAGCGACAATGTCGCGTGGGTGCTGGACGTCATGAAGACGGTCGAGCGCCACGCCGTCGGCAGCTACCTCGGCGACGCGGACTTCCAGCACCGCAGGACCAAGTTCTGGACGGACGAGGCGAGCGAGAAGCTCAGGGAGATCAGGAGGAAGTGGGATCCGACGGGCAGGATATGCGGCTACCTGGACGATGGGGACAAAAGCGGCATTCAGGGGCTGAAAAATGTGTTTGAATGGGCGACCACTGGTTCAACGTGAAAAGCTGGCAAGTACAGACTACCTGATGCTTTTATTACCCAATAATAGCTATAAAATGTACAAAGTGAAAAGACGCTGTAGTTCCTCCCGTCCGTATCCCGTGATATGATTTCTGCCCATCACCTAAGAGTATTGCTGTATATGACATGATCTAGTAACCCTCCTCTGAGTCACTATCCTCCGGGACCAGTGCCCTGTATCGCCTGCTCGCCAGGTCCTCCTCGAGACCACCCTCGCTCTCAGGATCGACATACCCATCACCTCCGGCGATGCTCAGCAGCACAGGCAGAAAGATGAGGGCGTGGCTCGCAGCGAAGACGACGAGAGCCACCCAGACGCGGAAGTAGTAGATCTCGAAGATCTTGCTGCGCGTGAACGCAAGCACACAGACACCGATCAGCTTGGTGAGCGTGATGCCGGAGAAGACCGACCCGCCGACATTCGACAGTGCAGTCCACACCCTGGCGTCCCGGCCACGGAAGCGGTTCTTAGCACGCTCCATGAAGGTCCGAGACGGGAACATGAACGCTCGAGCAATGTGGGCGCAGAACTCCACGGCGATACCGACGCAGATGATCAGATTGACAAGCGACACCGCGTTCAGTGAGACGCCTACCACAGCCATTGCGCCGATAATGTCAATGATTGTCATTATCACCGTGATGGAGACGACTGCAGCGGTAAGTATTGATCCTAGAAGGACAGCAGAGACGACAAAGATGACGCCAACTGCAGCACCAAGCAAAGCGGCGCTAAGCCCGACGATAGAGGCATATTGATCAAAGAACACGTAGAAGACGCTATAGGGGAAGACGTCAGCCCCGGTGCTCTTGCTGATGTCAGAGGCAATTCGGCGAGCGGATGCATAGGCGTCGATGAAATCATTCTGGCTGCGAAGTGGAGAGTGCATTGTCCGGAAGTGACTTGCTGGTATGGTATCCTTTGTCGAATCGAAGACCACCGACGAGGAATAAGACGCTTGACCACCAAGAGGGCAGATGTCATCAGTTGGAGCATTCAGGAACTTCTCCAGGTAGTAAATAAACTCCTCTCCTTCAGGCATGCCTGACAAGGTGATGTTCCAAGCAGGATCTCTGCCTTCGAAACATGTGGAGCCATGATCCTTGCAGCAGTCCTCGTTTTCAGGATTGAGCCACGCAAAAAAGTCATCAATCCAGCTTGCCGTGGGTGAAGAGATATATGACACTTCAGTCCGCTTCCGCTCTTGTTCGAGGATATTGGTCAGAGACATCTGCTGGCATGAAGTGAAACGCGCGCAGATTTCTTGTTGATGCTTTCGCTCAGTGAAGTTTCGTCCTCTGGTAACAAAGTATACCGGCGGACCAGAGTCGAAGTAGTCGTACAAATCATTGAAGTATGGGATGAGATACGAGCCGTCAGGAATCGCGACTCGTTGGTCAAGGCCAAGTTCGACCTCGGGTAATAGGGCAACGCCAGCCGCGAAAAGACCGGCGAAGATCATAACAATGATAGCCTTGGTCTTCTTGCCCAGTAGAAATGGTGCGTACTGTTTGCGGATGAACTGCTGAAGGGTGCTTTCTTCCGGGGCTTCATAGTAGCGTGAGCTCAAGCCGTTGCCGTTGCTCCCGTTAAGATGCACTCGGGCAGCCCTAAGCTGAATGCAAGGGAAGCAGTCGACACGAGAGTCCTCAACTCGGTGTTGATTCCACGTCAAGACCGAAACAAACATTGTGACTTGAAGAAGGGCGTTGATGAGCACAGCACCTGCAGCATAAGCAGCGAAGTTTCTGACTGCTGGCATGCCGACAAATGTGCCCAGTGCAAAGGACACAGTCTCTGTGATAGCAGAGAACAGGATCGATGGTCCCATACGACCTAGAGCCTTGGCCACTCTCAGCTCAACCTCATCATCGGGGTGGCTGATGTTGACTCGCTCGAACTCATGGACAATCAGGAAGATGTTGTCGACACCAACGGCTAGAACGATAAATGGAATAACGTCCACAATAATAAGGGTAGCCTTCAGGCCAGCCCAAGAAAAGAGTCCAATAGACGATGTGATCGACATGAGGACAATCACAATTCCAGCAACACCTAGCGAGAACTTGGACTGGACGACGGAAATCGCTGGATGGCGCAGAAGATCGCGTAGGCCGAGAGTTGTGGAACCCAACGCTACGGATGCGTAGAGGAACATGATGATATAGCTGATCACGATGATCTTCGCATCAGTGTTTGTCGACTTGTTCAACTCTTCTTCCAGGCTGATCTCGGTTGAGAAGGAAAGCCTCAAGCCTCTGTCCTCGGCCTCCTTCTGGAGATCAAGCAATCGATTCTTGAGAGCCTCTTCCCAATCCATCGCTCGAGCCACCTCAGAGGTGCCTTCAGGGAAGTTGTTCACGACCCAAGTAACAGTCATTGCAGTTGCTTCGGCGACGTCTCCAGACTTGGGGTAGCCGCCGAGGATCATGCCCGGATCGAGAGGCTGGCCATATTCTGGGCGACAATCCACAGGTGATTGGGCACAGTGTCGCAGGTCGTCCTTCCAAGAGTTCTTGCCAACCAGTGCTGGCTCGTTTTCAAAATAAGCGGCAACAGACTGCACCACACACGCAGAGCCTGTTGGCTTCAAACATACGTCACCAAGTGTTGCACCGAACTTGGGACCCTTGAGCTGCTTGATGCTCTTCTCCACATCCATCCACCAAATGATAGTATCGTAGCTCAACACTGGGCCGGGACCAGAAGGCTGGGTATCGTTGACGAGGAAAAGCTTCTCGGCACGGTAGAAGGGACCGAAGTTATCATCGAAGAATGCCTTCTCCTGGGCCGCGGCAGAAGTTGGGCTCACCCACAAACGAGCCGGGTCCTTCTCAATGTCAAAGCGAATCCATCCTAGACTTAGAACGACAACAATGAGCAAGCTCGTGAAGACTGTAATGGCTGGAAATCTAGCAGCCCAGTGACCGAGCTTGAAAAAAGCGGCGTCACACCACGTGTTGATGCGATAGGCTTTCGTTGGCCGGTCGAGCATAGCAGGATTGTGCACAAGATCGCCCTCGTCTTCATCATCGCTTGCAGTCGAGTCCTGCAGCAGGCGGAGGCGTTCGCTGCGACGCTGCGCATGCTTCTTCCATGCGACATGGCCCACGACTGCTCCGATGAAGGAGAAGGCAAGCACGGAGTACACGAAGATGGATGCGAATGAGAGACAGGGCAGAACACCAACGCGGCACGAGCCACGTTCCTTGACCGCAGGAAGCTCCGGGCATACAGCTGGGCAGTCGACGCATGCGCAGCGGAAGTCGGGGTCACTGCAGGCTTTCGGCTTCATGCCGGTTGGAGCCATCCCTGGCTCAGAGTATTTCTTCGGGAAGTTGATTTGAAACGGCGATCCGATAGCTTTTTCATCACCCAGGAACTTGAGGAAACCCGAGTAGTTCGTCGCGCCTCCACCAATGAAGTCCATTGCTTTTGCGTTTGAGGGGCCGAATTTGACGTCCTTGCAGCTGTCATAGAAGCCGGTCCCATACTCTTCAGATATCAGCTGGTCGAGTTCAGTGACCAGAGTCTTCTTGTTCTTCTCCATTGTTTTTGTGATATTGATAAAGAGCGATTGGTCGGGCGAGCATGTGAATGAACAGAAGAGGTTGTAGAAGTTCTCCTTGCATGCCGGGCATGACGATATGATCTGGTTGGCGGTGGACAACTCAGATTTCAGCGATTTCACCTAGAACATGTTAGCAGAGCCTCGACTTGAAGGGTTTTGACTAGAGTTAGGCGTAGATGGAGGCGAGAGGCGACTGGTTCCAGCACATGCAACAGTGAATGTTGGGAACGTGCTCTTCTGCGTCGGCAAGCAGCGGTCCGCAGCATCCAAACGAGAAGAGCTTCAGGCAGACGATAATATCAGAATATTGCTTACCTGTTCAGCATTGCAACACACGGGTCCATCATTCCATTTCGGACCGCAAAGGTCGACGAGCTGCTGGCGCAAGCTCTCGTCGGGCTCCTCGGCAGGACCATTGTCGACGCAGGGCAGCTGCTTGCCGAAGAAGCCCTTGGAGCCGCAGTGGCCTCTGATCGCACAGCGCCCAGCCTCATGTTTCGGGGTGTAGAGCTCATCAGCGTCGCTGAGGCCGGCGAGGAGGAGGGCGGCGGAAGCGACGAGGCCGATGAGTCTCGTCATGGTGACGACGACGACAGAAACGACGGGGGCGACGGGGGCGACGGGATGCGCCGCTCAGCGGCTGTCGTGTGGGTGCGGACAGATGCGATCCGCCGGCGGATGGGAGATGGTGCCCTTTCTTCAAACTGAAGTAGAATGAAAGGAGATGGATGAGGAAATCGTCGGCGGCGGCGGCGTGCGTTGGTTGGGGGAGGTTGATGTGTGATAGTCGCCACGAGGTGTAGAGGTGAAGTGACGGGAAGATGCGCCTTAACCTTAAAGCTAGCAGCTGTGCTGGAGCACCACAGTGATGAGCACAGCACAGCACAGCTTCGGCTCGGAAGGATGCGCTGTCCTGCGTCATCAATCATAAACTCCACCCAGTCACTGATCCGCTGCTGATTAGGCGGCCCCCAAGGTGCCTGTTCCACATCCTCGGGGAGCTAACGGTCCGCCAGCTCTGGGGGTGGCTGGGAGCTCTGCTAGATCGGTACTTGATACATGGTGTCAGTGTGTCCTCCATCAAGGTGTCTATTTAACACAATAACCAAGCCTTCCCCTCCACGGCCCCCTGGTCTGTTCCTGGCACATCACGCGCACATCAACTCGCTTAAGTCTCGTGCCTGACGAGTTGACGAGTACAGCGCTAGTTATCGTCAAGAAACGCCTCTTGAAGGTTCACTCTCCAGGTAACATCTCACGATGCAACTTCACATGTCTTGGAAGTTAAACCTCCGTCGGAGAATTGCATGGCACGTGTGGCAAGGTAGCGTATCAAGTGAATCTCACAATCAAAAGAGACTATGTGATGTAGAATGCTTGAAAGCTCTATTCGATAATAGTCTAGTCCTCTAAGGTAGGTATCAATGCATCATAGGTAAGGTACGCGATATGAGGGTATCAGACGCTGTTCCGCCTCCTCTCCGCCTCGTCCTTCGCCAGCGCAACCGCATCCACCCAGATAGGCGGCCTGTCCATCCTCGCCCCGACGGCGACCACCTCCTCGGCATCCAGCCCGAACCGCAGCAGCTGGGCCTCGCTCGCCCACTCGCCCGTCGCCATCAGGCCCACCGGCACCCTGCCCCGGGTCGTCCTCTCCGCGACGCTGCCCGCGCCCGGCTGGCCCTCGGGCGTCACGAAGCCTGCCGGCACCGCGATCGACGGCAGCCCGCAGAAGTTGGCCAGCCACACGTACTCCATCGTCTTGAGCGTCTGGTCGCCGTCGCTCACCCCCCGCGAGAGCTCCCCGGGGCTGCGGACCGGCCACCCCGCGCACGACGTCGTCGGCGTCACGATCAGCATGCCTGGGTGCTCGCGCCACAGCCATGCCAGGTGCTGCATCAGCAGACGGCGCAGCTTCTGCGCCAGCAGGAAGTCTGTCGCTGGCGAAGATCGTCCAATAGCCAGCAGAATGCGATTCGCGGCCGTGAGCCCCCGCGTGTCTGGGAGCAGCGTTGACGCGTCCGTCAGCACCGTCAGCGCGTGCGCCATCTGGCCCTCGACCAGGAAGGGGATGCGGATAGGCACCGTGCGGTAACCGTGTTGCGCCACGAGCGTCTTGATAAAGGAGCGGCAGAGCTCCTGCACGGCCGGCTCCGAGGCGGCGAACCACTCCTCCGGGATGCCGAGAACTTTGGAGTCGTCTGCGGCAGGCGCTAGCATGCGAGAGACTGGCGGGATAGGGGGAAAGTGGGATGAAGGGTGCGGCGCGCCAATGACCTCAAGAAGAGTTGCCAGAGACTGAATATCCGATGCGATGGGCCCGAGACAGGCACAGGTGATGCAGTGATTCTGGCCTGGTTTGAAGGAAATCCGCCCATGCGTCGGCTTGATGCCGTAGACGCCACAGAAGGAGGCCGGGATTCGGATGCTACCACCACCATCACTGCCCAGGCCGATGGGAATCAGACCGGCACTGACTGCGTATGCTGTTCCAGAAGAGCTCCCGCCAGTGTAGTAATTAGGATTATGTGGGTTGGGTGGTGTTCCGTAGTTGGGGTTGTTTCCAGGGGTATCTACAACATGTCAGTTTCACCACGATGACAGCAGGTAAATATGAAATAGCCTACCTAATCCGAACTCGACCATGGAGAGCTTGCCCAGGATAACACAGCCCGCATCTTGAACCTTTCTCACACACCATGCCGTCGTGCTGTTGTCCTCTGTGATGGTGCCCGTGTAGTCGTTGACCGAGCCGAGGCACGACATGTAGCCCTCCATGTCGTACTCATCCTTGACCGCAGTAGGCACGCCGTCTAACGGGCCGAGTGACCGCTTCTCCTGGTAACGCTGGGTCGAGGCTTTGGCAGCCTTGAGAACCAAGTCCACTTTGGTGTCGAACCAGGCCACCGAGTGGGGGCCTCGTGGCGTGATGTCTCTCCGGATCAGGGGCAGCAGAGCCTTCGCCACGTCAAGTGGTGTCAGCTCGCCGGAGAGGTACAGGGCACGATAGTCGGCGGCCGAGTAGTATCGAGCTCCATCAGGGAACTTGGCCCGACGCCTGAGCTCAGAAGGCGGTTCAGCCTCTGCGTCCGTGGCGGAGAGCAACGGGTCCTCAAGAGGGATGACAGTAGGGTCAAACAGAGGTTCATAGTCCTCAATGGAAAGCTGGATCTTTCTCAGGTCTCCAAAACCGGCATTTCGCCATATCGTCTCGCGAATGAAGCGGAACGTCTCCATTCTGCGGCACGGTGTCAGCCATCGGAATAAGCTTAAATGGGCACAGGGGCTTCTGCTTACAGCCAAGCCGCAACCACCAATACCAAGCCTCGGAGGGCCGGATTTGATTTGCGGTCATTCTTGTAGATGTAGTCCGGACTGTGGTGGTGTCAGCACTTGAGGCTACCGGTTTGATATGGCGGTTGCCGAGTCTTCCGGGACTCACCCTTGTAGAGGCTCCGGCCAGTTGATGAAGCCTTTCCTTCGGACCACCGAAGCCATGTCCGAACTCGGCATGGGGACTGGTGAGAATGTTGGTGCTAGCAAAGCATAAGGCAGGAACTTGAAAATACAGGAATGGGAGGACAGACAGCCTCGTGGGGGGTTAGTAACTACACGTGTGGTAAATAACGGTGTGGTGGTGGAGGGAGGTATGCAGGTGTCTTTATATGCGGGCCGGTGTCTAGGGCGTGGTTGGAAGCCCGAGGATCAACACGTCTAGCTTCTGAAACAAGCCCACAAGGGCATAACGGTGTTCGACGTGGCTGGCGCAACTAAATAGATGCTGTAAAATGGCTGCTGATGTCGTGCAGCAAGCCTAATCAGCCAGCCCTGTCTTGCGTTGCTTTGCCTTGTTATGTCTCGATTGTTGTCGGGTTGTCACTCAGGCAGCCCTTGCCACTGTTGTGGGCTAAGTTATAGGCAGGTATGTATCACCTACTCAATGTTGCCTACTTAATGTTTTTGACAGCAACAACAAAGACACCTAGGTGGGTACTCTTTTATAATAGAGACTGCTAGATGCCTTGTTGTTCTTTTCAGAACAATACGAAGCCGCCACGCGTTTTACAGTTAACCGACTGCTAGAGGAGGGAAGATGCACATGAGTCGAGTTGGGGCCTGAGTCACGGGCGGCTTGCCAAACGGGCCATTCTGGCACCTTATTAATAACACAAAGAGACTATCCCCAAAGCCAAAAAGCAAACCCCACACAGGCGCTGGAACGGCATTGTGTCACGCCTTTTCGGCGTCCGCGGCACGGTACTTGGTGATTCGAAAACGGCACTCGCAGCGCATGCAACGCTGTGGCAAGACGAGTCGGGGCCCCGAAACCACCGCTGACACGTGAACTTGGAAGCTTGCTTTGCTTGCTGATCGGCTAGAACAGATAAATCGCCGCAATTGTGTAGATAGACATCTGAAATATGTTTCCAGCTATATGTCTTGTAATTAAATAAGCATAATGTCCACTACCCCAGCGTACCTGATCCCACCACATTTTCAACGCCCAGCCGGCAGCTTAGCTCTGATAAAAATGCTGAGCTTAAGGAACCTACCTACTCTCGGCAGCCTCGGCACTTCCACATGGCGGTAGTGCGGCGGACAATGCAGGTGGAGGAGATGGGGCCAGGGGGGCGCACAGGGACCGGGCAAGTATGTCGGATGATGATGAATCAGCAAGCTTCTCTGGGCCAGCGCAATGGCAGAGCAGCGCTAGGCAAGTAAGGTGTGGTCCGTGCGTATATTCCCACCAGTCGCGCCGCTATACCTGTTCGAGAGCTCATGAATCCATATATAGCAGCTAGGTACCTTACCTGACCCTGATAGATATTCAGACGTGACATGTTTGAAGATTCAGTATTACACATGGCTTAACATGTTAAACTGCAATTGCAATTCTACAATCAATCTACTTGAATTCACTACGTAGTAGAATAGCTAGGGAACGAGTACTACTTTGTCATCTTGTGTCATGTCGAGGCACGAGAGGCGTTGGCTTCATAGACTCGCTTTAAGATTTGCCAGCTGTGGAGGCGGGATCCGTCGTGGCATCGTCTTCTCCCAAGCACTCATGGCTTGTAGGATCTTTCCCTCCTCCCCAGCTTTTGCCACGATGGCCACGCCGTATGCTCTACCATTGTAATTGTCGGCATATCCCAACGGTGCCACTCCGGCGGGGTATCCTGCTGCAGCAGCAACGGTGACAATCCGCCCGTCTAGTGGTCCTATGAGCACTTCGGCCCCTGTCTCCTGAAAGATACGGTCAAACCCGTCATCTTTGGCGGTCTTGCGGATGAATGAAACGATCTCTTGGCGCTTCTCCTCCGTCAGGTCGCTCTTCAATGTATTCTCGAGCTGCTGTTGGCCCGGAAATGCTGCGATGCTATCAGCTGCTGGCTCCTTGCAACGCTTTGTCTCGTTCAGTGGTCTCGCCTTACCTGGTGGGAGCTCCAAGTCTTTGTGATCAGAATTCCACTGTATCAGCTGCTCGACTGTGCGTACCGGGGACTCGGTGTATTCTCCGAGGAAAGAGTTGATTTCACCGCCGAGATACGAGTTCCACACCGTCTCAAGGGCATCCTCGCCTTCCCAAGAGATCTCGTCGACTTGTGGCAACACGACGTTTTCCGTTACTTCTGCCCCAGACTCCCGGATAGTAGCTACAGCTTGGAGAAACTCTGTAATCTTTCAGAAGATGGATGTCAGGATCACGATAGTGACGTATAGCTATAAGCCTACTTACTTGTTTGTCTCGAACGATTTCAATCCGTTCGCAAACCGCTGGATGGAGCTCCCACATATTGGGGTCCACAAAGGCGATTTTCTGCCCTGCCCATGTCTTCGTTAGATAAGAGGAGTAATCTTGCTCCATGATAGCCCCGATAAAGTTGGCAAGGTCTCCAGAGCTTTTGGCCATGCCGCCAAGACTATCGGTTATTGGAGACTGTGGTGATGTCCCCTTTGTGTCTAAAGCCCCAACGGTAACTTTCATTCCGTACAGAGAAGATCTTCCAGCTGGCTGTGTGATAGATCCGTCAGATTCGGTCCCCAACGCTACTGGTGCGAATCCAGCGGCCACAGCCACAGCCGATCCAGATGATGAGCCGCACGGAGTGCTGTGTCCCAAAATCTTGTCTCCAAGCACGTAGCCGCCCCTAACATATGGTGACTGTGTCTGGCCACCGACTGCTGACCATCCGGTTACCATTCCGAATCCTTTTGATCCAGCCCATTCCTGACGAAGAAGACGAGTCAACATCCATAACCCATGGAGAATGCCTTCATAAAGTTACTTACAGATAAGTTGGCTTTCGCGAGAATAATCATGCCAGCTTTCAAAAGACGGTTTACTATGGGAGCATTTGGTGCCTTGGCTCCGACAAGAGCATAGGAGCCACATGTAGTATCCATACCCATGGAAGAGTCGGTCATTACATTGTCCTTGACGACAACTGGAATACCGTGTAGGGGACCGCGTATATTGCCAGCGGCTCTTTCAGCGTCGAGAAGTCTGGCTTGTTCAGCAACAATGTGTTCTGGTGCGGTGGAAATGATTGCGTTCAACTTCAGACCGTTCTTGTTGTGCTGCTCGATCTGACCAAGATAAACATTGATCAAATCGAGGCTAGTCAGACTACCTGATGTCAGAAGCTCTTGTAGTTCCTCGGCCGTGGTAGTCAACGGATCGATTATGCCATCCGACACGTTAGAGACGATGCGCTGGGGGGCTGGCGCTTGGATGTCCATCTTTGGATGCTGAGACGGAATTAGGGAGAATAATCAAAATCCACGAAGATAAGCCAAACCAGTGAGGGAAAAAAAACAATCGGCTCGTGTTCCTGCCGAAAGAGTGATGATCAGATGCCCAAGAAGCGGCTCATGTAGGAAAGGTTGGTTGGGGTACGGAAGCTGTGAGCTTCAGCCTGACCTGCCACCCTCTTCTACCACCCCACGTCTGCGCCCCATCAGTAGTAACCTGCAGTCTTCCGCGCATGCACGTACGACAACACCACCTTGGCTCCTTGTCCGATACATCCACACCAGTGCGTGCATATGAAGATGGTTGCATGGGCATTTTTGTCAAAGTATTTATCGTCCGTAGGTTTATAAATTATGGCTGAAGATTAACGCGCCGCCTGTGATATAATTTGGCTGGGGGGTTTTCAAGACTATTATCCACTCAAACTCCTGTTCTATTGTCACCACGCTGAAATGGAAATCCAGGCCTCATTATCCTTTCTTGCGGATCATCCTCGCTATAAGACAGAAAAGCCTTTCTACGCTCTTCTTCGAGCTCCACCGGGATTTGACGTCGAATCAATCACAGACGAGGACGCTGAGGCTTTCAGAAGAAACAATAATCTTGACTTCTCTTACAGAGATGTGCCCATACAAAATATTCGTGGCAGGGAGGACCAGTTCCACGTCGAACAATGCGGCTTCGAGATCATGCATCATTCATCCGCGATGCTAGACCGCCTGATGAAGTCCTCAGAAGCAATAGAAGCATACAAGAGAGAGACAGAGGAAACGTTAAAACAGAAGTTCGACGCAGAATATGCCTTCTGCTTTGAGGCTCGTGTAAGTTCGATGCGATATCGGCGGTCAGAATGCTTGAAACGCTGTTGATCCTTTTCAGTTGAGAAAGAACCAGCCGTTTTCTAGACGGATCTACGACCTGTCAGATCCTCTACTCGTAGAAGGACCTGCAATTGGCGCACATACGGATTTCACGATTGACAGTGGGCCGCGATCTATAGACCACTACCTTCCGAACGAGGTTAAACAGACTTACCTGTCAGGATCTGGACATAGGTTCCGAATTATCAAGTTTGTGAACACTTTGGGTGACCTGGTGTCATGATTCGGGAAAGCATGCTAACAACAAGTAGTACTTGGAGGAGTCTCATTCCTGAGATAGAAGATAATCCGATAGCTGTTTGCGACTACAGAACAGTCGATATAAGCGATCTCATTACGGCAGATCGCATTATTCCAACCCGAGTCGGAGAGATCTATTACGTTAGACACAATCCGAAACAGAAATGGTATTGGCTTGACAAAATGACACCGAATGAGCCCCTAGTCATGGCGATGTATGACTCAAATGGAGGCCAAGATGCAATATGTTCGTTGTCCTAGTCGATTCTTAACTCGCCATACCATTACTTACTTGTAAAATCAAATAGTCTGCCCCCATATCTCTTTTCAGCATCCAAAAAGCCCAGATAAAGCCCTTCCGAGGGCGAGCATCGAGACGAGAACCATTGTTATCACAAGGACGTGATAGGCAAACCCAAAATTTAACAGCCATTTTTTTTGTATCTCTTTTCCCACATATTGGATGCGAGGGGTGATCTACCAAAGGGAACAAATAACTCCATTCACACCTCTCGTTTGATTATTATCATCAGGTTGACAGGTTTCGCGTCCTTTCGGTCAAATTTTCGGCCTGCTTTGTTGTGGTACCCCAAAGTGCTGTTTTTTAATGCTACGTGGACAGCCTGCGAGAAGCTGCACAAGGCTGGGGTTACGGACGGTTGCCACTGCGTACAAGGGTAAGGCAATGAAACAGGACAGAAAACCAATCATGCAAAGAATGCTTATCATTGATCCTCGGAAGAGCCTCATTCTTCCCCGCTTCATCAAAGTTGACAGATATTGATGACTCCATAATCAAGTATTACTGGCGGAGATCTCTACAATGATTTCAAAATGACCGGAGTTGCGTATGTAACACAACATGTTGCATCACACAAGGCGATTGGAGGTTAAACGGTTCAAGCAAGGCCTGTTGGGCATAAATAAGGCGTCCTTTCCAGCGTGCTAAGCCTTTCTTCATAATGCTAGAAGAAGGCCGGACCGAAATTTCGGGTATGCTTCACAGCCCAAGGGATCGACTCAACCCTTCTCAACCATATTCAACAGGTTAAACTTTTGCAATCTCTAAACTCTCAAACGTCAAGCTATCGCTAGCCATAAAGTGCAGCATTCGCGCCAGAGAAAATGGTTCTTGACAAGAAAACGGCACCGCAAACAGGCCAGAGTGCCGCGGCATTGTTCCAGGGTGCTAAAGGATACCCGGAGCGGCCTGAAAATAAAGCCCAGCCATGGAAGAAGTGGTTTAACCCCGAGCCTCAGTCCGACAGCCCAGTCGTCGTGTTGATTCCCTCAAAGTACGACTTCGGCTCGGGCAACCTGGGTGGGTTCTAGCCGGCTTAAGGGTAAGTCGACCTTACAAGTGGTACAGAAGCGGTTGCTCTACGGTAAAGTGCTAATCAGTGAGTACAGATGCCAGGTCTCTCCTTGGTGGGATCTTGGAAATGTTGCAAACACAATAAGATTTTGGTTTGGCTGCCCAACCCAGGCTTCGCACATTGATCGATTTCAATGGACGATCAGATCTTTGTATCGTTAGCTCAACATAATCTAGTATTGAATCAATTTCTCAACAATGTAATGCAGTCGAGATTATGTTCAAGTGATTGTCTCATCCCCTGTCTGAGTGAGCCATGTGTAGCAGTGTTGACTGCACTTCCTGAAGACATCAATCCGAATGAATCCCGGGATGTCTATGTCCTGTTTGAGGCACACAAATGGGAACCTCTTTAATGCTAAGCTGTGGAGAGCTGCGGCAGTATTGGCACCCTGCAGCTGCATCCTGGTGGGGGGTGTCGCTCCCGTCCCGTCCCTCATCGACTAATGTACATGTACATGCACTGCCGCTTTTCCGACCGACGCCCAGCTTGTACGGGAAAGGGCGGCGGGTGGCCTCCGGGAGGCACACCAGTGCTCAAGCGAGGGCTTCCCTTCCCTCTATGGCCGCCGGAATCTGCAACCATTGGGCTTTAAACCCGCCAGTCATACTAAAGCCCATGACAGTCCGCTTTGGCAGAGGATTGTGCGGCTGAGAACCGGGTGGCTTGTCAGTGCATAATGTTCTGAACAAATCAGGTCGCAGATAGCTCCTGCCACTCAAGGTACCACTCTGCTTTGTACCGAAGGAGCAAGGGCCCAAAAGACACGGACATGTCCGAGATCATCATAGACTTCCTCACCTCCACTTAATCAAGTTCTCAGTATATCCTAAACTGTCTCAGGGAATCTATATCTTAGTTGCTCAAACATGGATGATGCTACTAGTTCCGCTGATCCTCCGATGAATCCCGGGTGGACAAAGAGGCTTTCATTCAAGGCACTAAGTGTTACTCGCACAAATTCTTTCGTTTGGGCACGGCGACGTCCGCCACCTGATATTGAATTAGGGGTTGTTGAGATGGCTGGTTTGTGACAAAGCTGCTTTTGGACGTTTCGAGTAAAGCTGCGTGATACTAATGAGATGCTTACTTAGACTCAAGATACGCTGAGCTCAAGGCTAGATTTCGGCATGCTCTAACAAATGGCAATTCAGATTCAGGGGTCTGCATCGAGTTTGATTTTTATTTGAGTCTTCTAGAGTCATACTCGGATCTAGTTTTGTCCGTAATCTTGTGCAAAGACCTCGAACAATTGGAGGACAATGCTGTAAAGCGTGACGGGTCAAAAATAGATTTTCTAGAACTGTTGGTTGTGCTTGTAGAGACCCTTGCCTCTTCGACTCAAGTACTTACGCTAGAATCTCTCCGGGTGGATTTACTTTCTCGGAGCCAGCTTCTGAGATCGTCGCACGATATTCTCACAACTTACATGATACTGTTCTGCTTCATTGGATGGCTCTCTATGGTATATAGACCGTCTCTATCTGAGAATAACGAGCCTATTCTTGCCATAGAGGCAGTGGACTCCATGGGTCGCTCACTGCAGACCAACGTATACCGACAAAAACAGATAAACCTAAAAGGAGGAAAGGCTGCGAAGCTACCTCTACACCACATGCTCGCTCCTTGTGGTGATTTAGCTCCTTGGCCTCGTACACAAGCACCACCTCCTAATCGACAGCAAGATGTGTTTTTGGAGCAGATCGTGGTCAGTTACTTGAACTATCAGACATTGCATGATGTTGCCGGTGTCAAACTTGTATTCGTTGACTGTATCAGTCTTCATTTAGACTTCGACGAGAAGTCCCACGAGTTGCGCATCTTTCGATTCCCCTCGTTGTGTAAACTATTGTGTCAGTCAAATGAGCCGCTTGAGCAAGATGATCAGGTATCATTCCTACGTTTTCTTTCAAGGTTGGTAATACCGATACAGTTGTCTACCTACCTTCTGGGCTAGCGAAAGCTGATAAAACAGCGCAGGTGGCTATATAACGACCTCCGACCCTTGGCATCCCAGGCCTCTCAAGACCAGTTCCAGACAGGAAACCTTACAGCATCTGATATGTATCGAGAGGTTCTTCTTTCGTACAGACTCATTTTTGGACAGGATAAAAGTTCGCGGAAGGCGTGGAGGAACTTCTACAAAGCACAGAATGTTCCTCCAGGTGTTGAGGATCCGCTCTTACAGAGACTGTGTGGGAAAGACTGCCGCGACGAAACAACTTACAAGGAGATCAAAGCACCAGATGTAGCACCACAATACTCGTCATCAGAAGACTTTCCATTTTGGGGAGCACGTCTGTTAAAGATTCAGCAATTTGTAGTCAACAAGAACCCGAGCGACTGGAAGACGCTGTGGAATGACCGCCGGGACCTTTGTGAGACGACATACCCATCTTGAAAACGTTTCGTGAATCACGATACTAACAACGACAGTGCGCTTCTATACTTTCTGGGCAGTAGTGGTGGTTGGGGCCATGTCACTCATCC